GCAAACATTCATATTTGACAAATTTATCCTCGCAGTAGTTTATCCTACGAAGTGTTAAGTTATATAAAAGTTTATAGTGTTAACCCTTTGCGATCGTAGGTCGAGCGAGGCTCGTCAAAAATATACTGAAACCATAAAACCAAGCCAGTGAAAGTTTAAACGGCACGCAAACACTCATTGTTAATATCCTTACTTTTTGATAGATTGCGTCTTGAACTTAGAACTCTCCCTATTTCGCCAGCTTCCTTCGGAGTTTCCCAATTCCGTTCTCAACAGAGTTTTCCTGGTGTATGGGCCAACAGGGCGCTAAGGACTAATGAAGAACGCGTGATCATGTTACAGGTGCTCCCGAGGAGAAACTTTGGGCCAACATACCAGGTGGGCCGTCGCCTCCGTTCCGTCCTACAACGCAGAGGACAACGACGACAAGCGTCGGGACGACCTACAGGCCGTGGAGAACACGACCGACCCACAGGCCGTGGAGAACACAACCGACCAGACCGAATCACTATCCAAACGACGACCGACCTCGACGCCCTGATCGTTACCCTCAAAAGCCGGATTACAGAACGGAGAGGCCGGAGGATCGACCTCAGAGGCCTCACAAGCCTCACAGACATCACACAACATCGACCACCACTACGACCACCACCACCACCACCACCATGAGGACGATAACAAACACCCAGAGGCCGAGGCATCGATGGCCACCGACACCCAGGACCGACGTCCCGGATAAATGTGACACCAGCTACGACGCCATTAGCATTATTCGCAGGGAGATCTTCGTGTTCAAAGGACGGGTGAGCATCGAATAAATGGAATTTAAATTTCGAGCCAATAAGATTTTATAATTAATCCTCTGTGGGTTGAAGTGATTTTCCCGCAGACACAACTTGCAAGACATTCACTTTAGGTAACTTCAGGTACAGGGTGCGGCAGAAATAACTCCCACATTTTAAAAAACGATTGAAAAAAAGTGGTACGAGATACCACTAGAAACTCTTTATTTCTTACATCTAGATATAAAAAAAGTTTTTTTACTTTATGTTTTAAAAATTATGTCGTCCAAATGGTAGCCTTTAACGGGCGATACACATTTGAAGTCGTTCTTGAAATTTTTCCATCACTCTCGCTAGCATTTCGGGGGAAATTCTTCCATTCCCACAGAAAAAAAGTTACATGGACTTAAATCCGCCGAGCTACGGTGACCACGAAACTCTTTCGCGTCAAGAAATCACTGGACCCGGAAACACCATCTGCAAAATTTCGCGCTGACGACGCCTTGTATGTACCGTAGCTCGGCGGATTTAAGTCCATGTGACTTTTTTCTGTGGTGATACCTCAAGGCCGAAGTTTTCAAACATCGTCCTTGTTCCTTGAATGAACTAAAGAAGAAATTGAAAGAATTTCCCCCGAAATGCTAGCGAGAGTGACGGAACTTTTCAAGAACGACACCAAATGTTTATCCAAGGTGGCCGTAAAGGCCACCATTTGGACGACATAATTTTTAAAACATAAAGTAAAAAAAACTTTTTTATATCTAGATTTAAGAAATAAAAAGTATCTGGTGTTATCTCGTACCATTTTTTTTCAATCGTTTTTTAAAATGTGAGAGTGATTTCTGCCGCATCCTGTACTTTATTTTTTGATATTTCAAGTTGATGGTGCTGCTAACCGTCTATGAATATTGTTATTAGTTATCAGAGACATAGTATAATTAAGACGTATCATCTTGTGAAAAAGCTAAAATTATTTGGTTGGTTATTAAATGTCGATATATTACCACGTGACCTAAAAGTTACACGGGCCTACAGCGGATTAATTATCAAACATTTCTATGTAAATAAAAATTTCAAATATCGAATAAAAGATGACAAATTTCTATCTATCAAACATCTAACACGAGTCAAATTTAACACAAAACGAACGACTTTCGTGCATTAATAAAAATAAAAGTCTATAATTGTAATGCTTCCTAATATTTACTACAGTCGAGTTTTAAGTATTTTTTTCGTATTATTCCTTCCTTAATTATTCTATTAGGTTGTCCCGAAAGTTTCTTTCGCGAGTTGGACTCAATTATTTGATGTGGTCGTGTTTATATAAATAGACAATCTAATTTCATAGATATTCATGTTGTAACAGTAATGGAGCAAAATGAATCGTGCACAATTTAGTAATGTAACATTAAACATAAAATATTGTGCATGTATTACTTATTAATGAAGCAAAAGAAACTTTTGAGACAACCTAATATTGTAAAAACCCGCACAAAATAACACCAGTCGTGCAATATTATTACTTGAATTTATAATTTAAAAATATACTTCTATATATCTCTTCCCAAAGAAGACTACTGGAAATATAATTAGATTTGTCGAAACTGAGAATAAACTACAACAGACTAATAGAATAAACTTTCTCTGGATGAACCTAAAATTTCTTACATACGCAAACTGTTTCAGTACCTGTGGAGGATCGGCGACCAAGGATTATACGAGGGATACCCAGCGGAAATTACGCGTTTGTTCAATCTACCTGAGGAAATCGATCACGTAGACGCCGTTTACGAGAGGCCTGATAAGAAAATAGTTTTCTTCATCGGCAAAATGTACTACGTTTTCAACGCCATCAATCTCGAGCCTGGTTACCCGAGACCATTGACGATATTGGGACTTCCGGAGTCATTGGAGAAGATCGACGGCGCGATGATCTGGGGACACAATGGGAAAACCTACTTCTTCAGTGGATCCATGTATTGGAGGTACTACAAATTTTCTATTTGATTAGAGAATGTGCGATTTAAGTTAAATTTAATTAAAATAAACAAAACGTTTCGAAATAATTATTGAGAGTAGAGCTAAAATGTCAGTGAAGTTAATTGACATGTATACTCCGATCAAGCATAGCTTATTTAAGAAACATTTCGACTTTTAATTAATATCTTTTTCAGTACAAGAATATTATAAATACGTAAAACTATAAAAGTGTCAAATTCAAATTAAATTTAATCAGAAAAATGTTCCCAAATAATTATTCAACGAACATTTCGTCGTCATTGAAGACCAAACAATCATAAGTCGTGACAAGCGACTAACGATTAATTTAATCGTCAATTGTCGTGAAAAATTAATTTCAGTAATCGACTGCCGTTGATCATAATTAATTCTAGTCAAGTTTACTGTTGAATTAGTCAAGTAATTCCCAGGTTTGATCTGGAGACATTCTGCACATTTATTACGAACGTAATTTTATAAATAAAAGTACATTTTTGAAGATATTTCTATAAAGACTTTAACAAACGATAACTAAATTCACGCAGGTTCGACGAATCCGTAAACTACGTAGAACTGGATTATCCAAGAGACATAAGTATGTTTGCTGGAGTGGGGAATGATATCGATGCTGTTTTCCAAGGGAAGAATGGTGAGTATATTTCCATATTATGACTTTAAAGCAGTAGTTTAATTCGTATACCAAGTATACAGTGAGTGTAGAATGTATTCGTACACCGATCAATTTCCCAAAAAACTTTTGTGTGAAATTGTAGTTTCTTAACTTCTTTTTTTATAATCAATGATATTTTACATATTCTCGGAAGTCTCTAAGATAGATATAGTCTAAACAACATTTTGTAGTTAATAGAATTTGTGAAATTAACGAAAAAATGCGAAAAGTGGGTAAAAGTGGGTAGAAGCAATAAGTATTTGTACGATTCTTATGACGAACCATTTACAGTAGAGTTTGTAACGTAAACACATTAGTTTATTGCTCCGTACGAATTAGAAAACATCAAATTTCCAAAGTAAAGTACTTTTAAAAATGGCTCTAATAGTGGAAGGGAAGAAGATCCCACTTCGAATAACTAATAATTTAGTTAATTTAATGCTTAGAAGGGTTACAATGATTATAAAATCAAGAGGAAATCCCACGAAGGAAGTATTATATACTTGTAAATTAATGTAAATTTCTTTTTTTTTTTAATGAAGTTTAAAAGATTAAACAGTTGTGCGTATACTTATTGCTTCAACATTTCTATCGATTAATGGTCGATAATTTTTTTCTTATTAATTTCGCAACTTATATAAATAGCTATTTTTTTTGTAATCTATCTATTCTAGAGATTTCCGAGAATATGTAGAATGCCATTGTTTATAAAAAATAAGTTGATAAATTACAATTTTACATAATTTTTTAGAAATTGATCGGTGTACGAATACTTTCTACACCCACTCTACTTGCAATGTGTTAGTAAGTGTGTATCCACATTTTTCTACATTGAAGATCCTCTTTCTTCCCCCTTGGATTATGCAAGGCACCCCCCTAGTTTGGAAAACACTGCTTCAAAGAGAAATCTGAAGGAACGACGGCATATTACATGAAAGGTTTCTTTTGCAGGCAAAACGTATTTCTTCAAAGGAAAGGGCTTCTGGGAATTCGATGATTTGAGGATGAAAGTCGCCCACGAGAAACAAAAATTATCGGCGCCCGCCTGGATGGGCTGCCCCCGAGAGTTGGAAACCAACGACGTTGAGAATTATCCAAGGAAATCAAAAATCATGGCCTCGAGCGACGCGTCGACACTTCCAACAATTTCTCTCGGGTTATTTTTTATAGCATATTTTAGAAAATATTTGTAAACTGTGATATTTATGTAAAGCCGCGTACAAGTACGAACGCGTACACGTTCCGATTTGCACGCGACTAAATTTTAACGCACTTCCCTTATACTGACTATGTATAATTAAAGTAATTTTAATAAAGTAATTTTTAAATAATTTTAATAAAGAATTTTAATAAGGAAGGACTATTCACTCAAGTTACTACATTCTTGCTTGCCTGATCCAGATTAATACTTGTTTAATAAATAAAGAAATTTGTTTAAACGTCGAATAACTTCCGAAATAATATCGTCATACTCTTTCGAAAAATTAACTCCTTATCCTACTCCTTTAGCAATTTTTAATTGAAGTTGTCTTTAAGAAAAGGCCTTAAAATATTATTGAACTCATATATTTAACAAAACATGTACACGTTTATTTGATGGGTCAATTTTAAACGATATGTGAACAGAATTTCTTTACAATTTTTATATTCTGCTGTAGCTAGTGGACTCCATCTTGAATACATTCCTTGGCATAGTTGTTCCAAACATTATACTTGAGCAACAAAATATCGCGACCGCGGTGCATTCAGAAAAGCGTAATTGTACAAGTAAACACTTGTTATTGGACTTGAATTTTACTGTGAGCATAAATTATTTGAATCCCACCGCGGTACGCATCATGAACTCTCTATCTTTAAATTTTCTTTCCCCCATAAAATATTTCACATTTAATCTATACGATGATAAAGCTTTGTTGAACATTTCGTTTCTTCTTCACGATATTAGAGACGTAGATCAGGTGGCGAATATGGATCCCAAGGATTGACTAATCTTAATGTAGTTTGAACGATAGTGTCTACCTCTGCCATACCACCCATTCCAGTATCACCACACATAAGAGTTTTAGAAATGCAAGTTACTTCCTTGTATCCCCAAGACTTAAGCAGAGCTACCTGAATAAGGTGGAAACGTTTGAGATAGATTACATAATATCATGAGACTTACGTTAAACAGATATTGATAAATATAAAATACAAATTGCAAATACAAAATTCATAATACCTGTGGTGCAGTAACTGGATGTTCCCACATTTTTGTATTCATAGCAGGACAAAAAACTAATGGCTTAGAAGGATTCCATGCACGTGCTACACAGGTCAAGATATTGTCGCATATACCGCTGGCTATCTTGCCAAGTGTGTTAGCATCTAATGGAGCGATTAAGAACAAATCAGCCCATTTAACCAGATCGATATGTAACACAGGGTCGCCTCTATCTTGCCATGCAGCCCATTCTACGGTATCCGATAAAACTTGAATTCCAGAAGGTAGATCTGCTTCTTTCAAAAAATGCTTAGCTTTTTCAGTAACCACTATTCTCACTTCCAAATTGTTCTGCCATAATTTCTCTACTAACTGTGGCAATTTAATTGTGGCTACACTGCCGGTGCAACCAATCAAAACTTTCTTTCTAGGCATGTTTGACATATCAATAGACCTTGTATTGTTTTAAATATTTTGTTATTTACTACTTTTTACTATATAAAATGCAATTTTTTGGTGTCAATAATACCTCGATACCAAATAGGCCAGATCCACCCAAGCACGACAAGAAATGCTTTACTACGAATAGGTCACCAAATGCCTTGATCAATTCAATCCACAGAGAACTACAATTAACAGAGCTCTAAGCTTAAGAGTGGTTTAACTTTTTAAATTTCTATGACAAATGTGCTACGGCCTCTACGCAACAGGCTGTCTTAAATGCTTAATAATTCGTTTGAAAGTCCCTCCACTGCACTCAAATTATTCGAATTGTCACATTAATTCGTTCATCTACCGAAAGAAAATCACTATTAAAGATGTCGAGTCATCATTCGCCAATCTTCTTATCTAAACATATATGTATATGTGTGTACGTGATTATCTGCAAAGATCTATGCATATTCTAGAGAATCCGTCGATTTGTTTTCCCAGATGAAACAAAAATGACCAGACAGAAATGTTCATAAATACTGGTCAATCGTTAAGAACTTCAATAAGAGAATCGATTGGCAATAAATCGCTGCTGTTATGTCTCCTTGACCTGGTCAGCGTAACCCATATTCGACCACTCTTCCTGTGCCATCAATTGGTTTTCCATTCGGCATGCGAGATAATTTTTTGCTTCGTTTCTACATATCGTGTTTTCGTTTTTATTCTGATATAGACACTTCATGTATTTGACCATTTCCAATTTGCAGACACCCTCATGATCGAGTGGAAAACTGCCCTTTTCCGGTGGTATGGGCGTAAACGACTTCCTTGAATACGTGTACGAGGTCATCACTAATCCTCAGCGGTGTTCATGCAGAAAAATCAAATTAAAGAACGAAACGTACGAGAATTCTCTTGCACGCAAATTTCTCACAAACCACACGATAAACTGCAACCACCATTACGACAAACTTGGACAAACTGCAGACGAGAGCGCCACATGCGACGATACTTTTAACTCTACGAGAGTAATTAATACGCAGCGTATTTTTTTACATTTCAAATGAATGCAATCATTCAATTGATCAAGCTTTGATCTATCGTAATAATCACGTCTATTCTTACAGTAAAATCTATGTTTATACTACACTTTTTGTTCAAAATGATCTTTGTGACAAACGCTAAGCATTTGTCCCTTTACATTCTGTAAAGATCAACTTATATGGAATCATAAATTTAATTATTTAATTTATTATTCAGTTGTAATTACTTCATTCACGCCTTCAGCTTCATAACTAAATTCTGTCTAAAACGATAAAATTTGTATACATAGTTAGTAACTGCCCGCTGTGGAACTAGGTCAATTATTACCTATTCTATTTGATGTAAATATTATGATGAATATTGTTTTATATCATTGATGGAACTACATCTTACGTCTTTCTAACAACCCTAATTAACAACCGAAGATGAATTAGACAAAAATTGGAGAAACATTGTCAGTTTTACTGACAATGAATGAATTGAGCGGTGATCAGACCTAATTCGACGATAAAACGCCGAAGTTTGTAGAAAAATAGTTTTTGTCTACAAATAACAAGCCCAAATAATATTTATCGACATTTTAGTACAAATATAAAGAAATACTCTTAAAAAGAAACAAAATTAACAGTATTATATGAGCTTTTTATTTATTATAATATCAGGATAATCAGCGCCATCGGTGGCAAAACGCTCAAATTTGTTGTAGAATGGTTCCTATCTTTAGCCACTAGATAGAGCTATGGGGTAGATACTGTGGTGGAAATATAAAGTCCCTAGATCATAAGTTCCTATCTAGTTTAAGTTGGTAGTTTGGGTAATGTTACGGTTGTTGGATGTGAAGACCCACGAATTTTTGTAAAAGCAAAATAAATTAAATCGTTATTGTTAACCGTTAAAAGGCGTGTTGATCGGTTTCCCCTACAATACCTAGTAATCCTCTAGGTATGAAACTACAGAATCACTAGTTGAGAACAGTGGCGCCATCTACCAATACGCGTGTATTACGTATGAAACAGCGGCAATTTCAAAAAGCATCAAATGACTTTAAAGAAATTATATACCAGAGAAAAAGCGGATACAGTTTAAAATCCGTTGATCTGCATTTGCATTTTCCCTACTTTACCTTGTAAAAAATATAAATATGATTAAAAATAAAATATAATTAAGAATGGGGACGTATAAGATTTTTATATAAGAAATTGTTTATTATTTCTTATATACTGTATATATGTGCGTTAATTCAAATTCTAAGTCTGCATATTTTTGTTACTTGTAAACGCAAAAGATTACAGCCATATTAGCTCATATTACTTGGTATGCAATTGCTAGGCGGCCTGCTTCTCACTAAAGCCACCAAAACGTGCACTTCGAAATGAAAGAACATATATGTCTATCTACAAATATAGATATCAGATGAAGGATTAGTTTCCCAATGATTTATCATACTTTTCTGCTGCCACGCAGAATATCAATCCTTATTAATTTTTAATGTGTAAGTTTATTTACCATTATGAACAGCAGCAGCAAACGAGAATGGTATTTGAATTAGCGTTCGCAACTTCGACGCTTCGGTTGGATGTTCCTGTGTTTCTTTGGTGTTTCTTTCGAGCTTCTTCTTTCATGTCAGTTGTTAAAGAAAAGCTAGATTGTTCACTGCTTTATTTGAGACGATGACATTATCCTCTTGATAATCGCTGCTACCTTCTTCGAATATCCATAAAGACTACGTTTCCCGCGATGATATACTGTCCCTGGCTTTCTTCTTTAGTTTCTTCAAATTCCGAAGATGTCGTTTCACGCGCTCTTTTCTTTTAGTTCCTCCGCAATTAATACGTGGCGTCCCAAACTTTTTCTCAACTAGTGATCCTCTAATCTAACTCTTTTCTGCCACCTAGTAGAAAAACTAGGAACTATTTTACAAAAAAACTTGAGGATTTTGCCTATAGAGTCGCTGATAAAATCGGGATTTAAAAAACATTAAAGTTTCGCTTATATATAAGAGCACTCTATGGCACAGGCTAATACAGGTGAACGCAGGCTTGCAGGTTATGTAGCAGATGATAAATAAAAGTAAAAATATAAGGTGTAACTTCGTAAATTAAAAATATTATAGAATCGTAAATATTTGTAAATAAATAATGGAAGAAAGTAAGCCAGTAGAACAAGTGGATGAAGAAAATAAAGAAGAAGTAACTTGGAAGGACTTGGTAAGCTTAAAAATCTCTTCAAAAAAAATATAACCTAAATCAAATGTTAACTTCGTGTATTTTTTTCAAATTCTAACGAAATAATATCGTTAAAAAGGTATCAGGATTAGCAGAGTAAAATCTAATATAATATCATTAAAATATATCAATTATAAAAATTATATTATTATAGGGAATTGTAGATACATTATGCAAAGCATGTGAAGATTTAAAGTGGAAATCACCTACAAAAATTCAATGTGAAGCTATTCCATTAGCACTACAGGGTAAATTTAATACTGACATCCATATATTGAAAATATAAAATCAAAATAATACATTGATCCTTCTTTTTTTTCGAACATATTGTTTAGGCAAAGATATCATAGGATTGGCAGAAACTGGTTCTGGTAAAACTGCTGCATTTGCTCTTCCTATATTACAGGCATTATTAGAAAATCCTCAAAGGTATTTTGCCTTAATTTTAACTCCTACAAGAGAGTTGGCATTTCAAATATCAGAACAATTTGAAGCTTTAGGTAGGGGAGATTTATTTTGCTATTTTATGGTGTCATTATGAATTATTATGATTTAATTATACTTTAGGATCAAGTATTGGTGTGAAATGTGCTGTAATAGTAGGTGGTATGGACATGATGTCTCAATCATTATTATTAGCAAAGAAACCACATATTTTAATAGCTACTCCAGGAAGATTGGTAGATCATTTGGAAAACACTAAGGGTTTTAACCTACGTTCTTTAAAATTTTTGGTAGTTATTAATATATTCTTATTACATTTAACTGCAAACAAGTGAAAATACCTAATATTTTGACTTAGTATTTCATTTTTACAAGGTTATGGATGAAGCAGATCGCATTTTGAATTTAGACTTTGAAGTTGAAGTAGATAAAATTTTAAGGGTAATTCCTAGAGATAGAAGAACACTGCTATTCTCAGCGACAATGACCAAAAAGGTTCAGAAACTGCAGCGCGCGTCTTTACAGAATCCAGTTAAGGTGGAAGTTTCTACAAAGTATCAAACTGTTGAGAAATTGCAACAATATTATATATTCATTCCTGTTAAATTCAAGGTACAAGTAGCTCATGAACTATCAGATATTTGCAAGACTTCTTGAAAACTTCCTTTATAGCAAATCTTCTATTTTAGGATGTATACCTAGTACATATCCTAAATGAACTAGCAGGCAATAGTTTTATGATTTTTTGTGCAACCTGTAACAATACAATAAGAACTGCTCTTCTTATACGGAATTTGGGTTTCACCGCGGTTCCGCTACACGGACAGATGTCACAAAATAAAAGAATAGCTGCTCTTACTAAATTCAAGGCAAAAAATCGATCTATACTCATTTCTACAGATGTTGCCAGCAGGTAAATATGCGGATGCCAAGCCGATCTGTGCATAAGAACCGGGGGTCGGCAGATCGGCCCCCCGCTGACATCCAAAGGATGAGACTGATTTAATTGCAAAAACAACCGTTTCAATTTTACTTTTATCCGTATATTACAGAGGTCTTGATATCCCTCACGTAGATATTGTAATAAATTTTGATATACCTACGCATAGCAAGGATTATATACACAGAGTTGGTCGTACCGCGCGTGCTGGCCGCTCTGGTCGTTCTATTACGTTTGTAACACAATACGACGTGGAGCTGTATCAAAGAATCGAACAGTTGATATCAAAACAATTACCATTGTATCCTACGGAAGAAGAAGAAGTAATGGTCCTTCAAGAAAGAGTAGCCGAAGCGCAACGTATCGTAAAAATGGTAAATTTGAAACTCTCATTAGTTACTCCATACATTAGTGTAGAATTAAATACATTGTCGTGTTGCTTCAGGAATTGAAGGACATCGAGGATAGTAAAAAATTAGGCAAACGAAAGAAACATCAAGATGATAACGAAGACGACGACACGGAACAATCTGTTGGGGTCAGAAAAAGAATAAAAGGAAAAAATAAAGGGAAGGGAAGAAAGGGTTGAATGGCTGAGATGCCTTATCAGATACGTTTGTTAATTCTTAATAAATGACAAACACGAGATGATATTTTTATTATCATTGTCGTTTTGTTTTATTTATAAATCAGACCGTCATTCCCCTCATACGTATTTTCATCCAAAACTTATAGTTTGCATTAAGATCCTTAAGTAACTGTCAATTTACAAAACCACATTTTACTCCCTTTTGCAACTTTCGAACGTCTATTTTTTATCTACATAATTAAACTGACTATGTGGTGATCGAGCATTCACAAAAGAAAAATCGAACGTTTGTCATCAAACGTCGTAAAACCAGACAAATTTCTTAATATTGAAAGAGTCTGTTCTATCGTAATAGTCTAAGTCTTTACACAAAACGAATACTTGTTCTCGTACGAGAACAATATAAGATACACAATAAAAATCACAATCTTTCAACCATTGTCATTTATCACTTGTAGCAATATTTGTTAGATGATATTAATAAAGCACCGAAAGCAGAACCCGTCAACCTACACAACCAATTTAGTTTACTACTCATATGTTCTCTATCTGAATTACAAAGCAGAACCTTGTTTATTAGAAAATGCGAGATAAAGATTAGAAGCATGTAATATATTAAAAGAGCAGCAAAACATTGTAACAAATGCAAAGTGTTATGCACAGCACACTGTTGTAAAATTTGTTAATTTTCTCCTCAAATCTTTATAGAAAAACATGGATCAGCATTGTACAGGTTCTCATAGTACAAAATACTCGTGAACAATACTGTTCTTCCGTTTTAACATTATGATTATAGTACGATTTCTAAAGGCTACAATGTTATTTAACTGTATAAAGTGGCAACAAATCCTTATCTCTTTCTCTTTGCATATAACATTGAACGGTTGTATCTTTTTCAGACATCAGGGGTTACAAAACGGATTTCGTAAAATTGTGCACCGGAGAATAATATAGTGCTGTGTAAAGTGAAAAATCCTTGGTTTATTGTAATTCTGAAAGTCTTACGGACCTAACTTCCATTAATGTATTATTAACAAGCATGACACCTTCGATACACATTAACATATCGAACACTATTGAAGGGTCATTGGTATTGGATGATGTATAACCATGTTGCAAAAACTTTTCCTAAACATGTCGAGAATAATTAAATCTGAAGTGTATTGCAAACATGCAAACCAACATTTACTGCAACACCATTTGTTTTTGAAGAAATATATCTCATTGAATATTGCCTCTAAAGTAAATTAAAAGAAAGACCATTGCTAGGTATCTGCCATGTACTTAAACATTGCAATCGCAATTTCGTTTGTAACGAGAGTATCTGCTTAGAATATAGCTATTTCTTGTTTAAGTAGATCTCCATTCTAGCGCTAAATCGATCTTTATGAGAAACGTCAACTTTTCTCTGTATTACTAAGAGATGCAATATGTCTAATCTCGTTGTCGAAGGCTTTTGTAATGACAAACAGCACGCGTGCAAGCGATCACTTCAATCTCTGAAGCAAAGACTTTTTGTCTGAAATTATTTATTCCAAATGTCGATACCACCATTCAACATTTAACAAGAAACAACGGAGATCAAACAAATAAGGAAATATACATGTATGTACATATAAAATGATTGAAAACGTTCCTTCTTTTGCTTCCCGTCAGAGATGTTTCGCCTTTGGTGACACCAACAATTTATAATAAATAAGTTCGTACAATATAGCTCTCACTTGCTCTCTCTACCATTCATTCTCTCTCTCTCTCACACACTCTTTCTCGTTCTTTCAGTAATTCATAAATACATATGAACAGTGATTATCACGAGTCGCCATTTGACGAATACAGTGCGTTGCGCGCAGGGATTGCTGAAAACGAATGAAACCAAGAATCCTGAATTGACAAGATGTGCAGTAAAATAGTAGCCTACTCTAAGTATGCTACTATTAATACGTAGTGAGCACGTTTCTGACTTGAACGAGATCGATACTCGCTTTTAAATTGTCGAAACGCATCTAAGTAACTGGTCGAGGGCAAAAATCTAATGGATGGAATGTTCCGAATGCAAGGTGTCAAAGATGTGCCAGATGTGACAAAAATTGAAACAACTTAGGTTTCATTTAAATGAGAAATAAAATATATTCCATAATATTATTATTCACTATTTCTACACATTCTGTACAGTAATTCAATTTAAGGGTTTTATACCTCAATATACTTTATACAAAAAGGCTACTTATAATCTAACATTAAGACATACCATTGCATGAGCGCCCTCCACCTTACCGCCAAACGGCAGATGGGCCGCACGCATGTTTGTACTGGTATTACAGAGTCAGTCGCCAGCGAGTATAACTTCTTCCTCTTGTATCACACACCACACACTAAAATGTTAAAAGTGTGTCTCTGGTGCCTTCCGTATCATTACTTTTTATAGTTACAATTTACTGTCCCCGATTAACTTACTCCATTCTTTGTGATAGTTGCATTTTTGTTTCTTTCAATTTCGTGATTCGTATTTCGCTTTTTCTTTCTCTCGAAAATGAATATATAGAAGAGTTTACCATCGCAACGTTGAAATATAATGAAGTGCCTTCATTTTTTTGCTATGCACGAGCTTTTCTTTCTTTTTTGTTTTCATTTACTTTTTTCTGAGATACTCTTTACCAATAAATAAAATTATATTTTGTGAAAATATAGAATTGTAAAAAATAAATCTGTCTTTTCGATTTTTGATAATACCGGTACAGAAATAGTGCATTTCGGAGACTCCACGAGCAACAGGACTGGTTAATTCAGATCTCTGTCCTCTAAGTACTTGTACTCAAATGTAAAACCTTCTTTTTTTCTTTGCCCCCACTTTTCGTAATCGAAATAAATGTAGGTGCCCTGAAACAAATATATTAAACACGGTAAGTTACTATTTAACGTGACATGTATAATTCATTGTTCACCATCGAATTGATATTTCATGCTAACCTGTTCGTATTCTTCGTTAATTACTTTCGGTTCTTCGTGTCTTTGAAACCACATCATATATTTAGTATGAAACCTCCAACTTTGTTTTTTTAGAGCTTTTGCAGCCAGGTACTGGCCCTTAGAACCTTCCATGTAATAAAATATGAAGAATAATGTTTCCGTTGAAAGACGTTGGAAGAACTCCACAGTGTCAGAATGAGGAAGTTGGACCTAAAAAGGGTTTATGTAAACGTTAACAAAAGTACTAAAGAAAATCAGAATTAGATTACCAGAGTATTTTCAAGGCATAATTAACGTAAAACGATCAAGTACCTGTTGATAGTAAGGAGGCGTTGGACACAGATTTCTTGGTAAATATGATCGCAAGCGTTCAGAATCAGATGGATGAGGCATATGATAGTAAGCAGCCTCCATCATCTGGAACTGCAGCTGATGTTCTTTTTGAAGAGGTACCGGTCCGAGCGGCGCGACACCAAGCAGAGGAGGAATGTGTGCTTCCGAGGTGGCATTGTTGTTGTTATTATTCGCTTTAGCACTATCAAAGATGTTTCTATTCGACTCGGACGGCGGTATTTCCAAACCTGCTCGGACAATTACTTGTTGGGCTATGGATTTCAAAGAGGACATGCCATCAGGAAGCTTAGGGATGAGACCATTGGCAGTGGATGGCGCTGGCGAGCAGGAATTTGCGGGCAGAGGTGAAGACCTACTGCTGACTGACGATTGTGGTGAAGAAGATGGTGGGATCGGCGTCGTCATTTCGGTTTCACTGTTGTGATTCTGATTTTGTTGGTTGTGCAACACATGTGTCGTCTGTATGGGTGCAGGATTATTGTGCTGCTGTGAGATCGTTTGTGGCACATTCGAGGTAACGCTGGACGTGGACGAAGACGATAACAAACCATTTTCGCTGCTGTGAGCTGCAAATTAAAAAACATAAACCATAGAATTATTCAATATATCGTTACTACTAATATTGTTTATGGATGATGTTTCACAGTTTACTTACAAGATGTTTTACTAGAGGTAGAATGGATGGCTTGTGAGTTACTATGCGAAGCAGCTACTGTGGCAAAGTTGCCTGCATTAGTTGTTGCAATATGATTACTTGTAGAACTAGGCGAGTTATGGCTAGGTGTCATGGGAATGGTCTTGCTTGGAGTGCTGCTCGACAATAAATTCGACTTTATAGTGGCAGTGCTTCCCGTGGTTGGAATGCTCGCCTGTGAATTTAATAGTGGCCTGACTGCTGTAGGTTTCACAGGCTGAAATCAATGTATTTGCTCTATTATCAATTATTGAAACAACTAATATAACGAACCACCAAAGTACCATGTAGCACTGAATCTAACCGAAGTATAATATACATACCTTTGTTTTCTTGTCATTATCCATAGAACTATCACTCGAATGGTTGTGCATGGTGGAACTCAATGGAGGTGATGGTATGGGTGAAGTACCAGAATTAGTTGAGGTTGGTGTACCTCCAGTCTCATTACTATTGTTGCTGTCTGTAGTCGCTGACGAAGGAATACCAACTCCAGACAACTCTACTTCATCGAGACCAATAATATCATCATAAATATATTCGTTCTCCTCAAAATCAGGTTCCTGTGAGGATTCAATATAATACTCTACGTCATCTTTTATCCTCTTAATCTGCGAATCACGTGAAAAGTAAAGATTAAATAATTATGAAAGTTCACAATATTAATATATGAAATAATTTCATTGACATTCACTTACAGTATTAACTTCAACAGACATATTGTCCAACATGCGTAACAATGTTTCCAATTTTCGGATATGGTAACGGTGTTTATCAAGTTTTCCTTTTAATTCATCCATCCTATCCTGCTTATCTTTATCTAACCTTTTTTTCTTTCCCGCAAGTAATGATTCTATCTCGGATTCAAATGTATCCAGCTATACCGAAATCGATCAAAAGCAAATTATACTTGTTACAAAAAAATGTCGTGAATCCGATTAAGCGCAATCCTCTATTCCATACCTGAAGATTTAAAGCGTCTATGGAACTTGCAAGCCAATTGCTAACTTCTTCTCTTTCTTTTTGAGCTGGATCAAGTTTTTGAGCTGCTCCTAAACCTTCCTTCGAATAAGCTTTCGTTTTTGTTTCTCTCTCTACAACTTTAAACCTTTCCATTTGCTGTAAAAAAAACAATTACTACACTTAGTAAGTTCCGCAATTTTTTATTTTTGAATTTCTTGATAAACTATACTCACAGTTTCTATTAACTTCCTATACTCAAGAAGCGTAGTTTTATCCTTAATCTCGCCAGATGCAAGCCAGGTTTTGATCTGATCACGTAACCTCTGGAGTTTTTTGATTTCCTTCTTAAGGTCTGCTTCATATTTCTCCTTCTGATTGCTGTTCGTAGCATTATGAACCTTCTGCCAAATGTCTTCAAATGTCTCTACACCCTCTGTTACTTTTTTAAGGCACCGATCTATTTCACCTAAAATTTAAAAAACATACATACATCAGTCTGCAAGATTATGTGAAACATGAATATATACAATATCATTTATTACTAACATTCATCTATGTTTGACTCCAACTTTATCATTTCTAATAAATGTGAAAATAAAATTGATTTTATCAGCAAATACAAACATTAATTTAAAAATGCTATGAACAAAATGTAATGCATAAAAAGAGGGTGATCCCTTTAATTACAAGTTTGTTTTAATGGAAAACAAATAAACTCTTCATAACACACGCAGCATAGACCATTTATTCTATTACTCTATTACCTCAAAGGAGAATGCCTACTAAGATACATTGTACTATAAATGCACGACTTAAATGCTACAACCAAACTAATTGGAAATGTATTGGGTGCAATAAAACATTGTGAATAACGGTAAGAACTCTTTATTTTTTCATTATGAACGTGTATAGAAGATATTAAAAGAACACAAAACTAATAGTATTCTAGAAATTCTTATAATACATCGCTCTATACTTAAGCAACTTAAGTTAAAAGTTTATACTGACGAGTACTTAACAAATGCTCTACCTCGGCACCACTATACATGTGTACCATACAAGTGGAATGTAGAGCCGTTTAGAAGGTTATGCTGACATAAGGAAGAACCATTAAATTGCTCTAAATACAGTTCATATCAGAAAGAATAAACCTCTATCAAAGAAACATGTGAAAAGTCGAACAGAACATACCAATCTATCGTACCCTGGCAACCTATACCAACTGTCAGGCACAGAAGCCTGCATGCAAATAGATAACGCGAGTTAAAAATAGGCTGCTACTAGTCGCAAATACAAGCGTTTAAACCGGGCAGAGGACTGCAGGACGGTAAGCAAGATCGACAGGCAAAGTTGTAGTGGTGCAGGGCCCATAACAAAATTTTCTAAATGTAAACATGCTGGAAACATTTTCTCCTCACCTTGCAACTTTCTCGTCGCAGCCATGGCTATGTAAACATGTGATACAATAATTCATGCATAGTCTAGACGTAATGGAAAAAGTACGGAACAATTTTACGGGACAAATAGTCGCTGAACTATTATTCCCAGTATAATATGGGAGGCTCGGCCACAAGATGGCTTCCGTTTTCAAATGACAACGTCCGACCGTCCGTGAACGAGCTGCGTTGATGCTCGCTCTTATTTCTCCGTCAAACTCTTAACTTCGACGGTAAACAACATACGCTACGTATAGTCGTAAATCGACAACACATAAAAATACACAAAAAGTGATAGCATCAACAAATGATATATATGAAATACTGAATAAATGAGATGGTGTATTATGCATTGGCGCATTCACACATTCTACCTAACGCACATACTTAATGCATTCGCGTTCATAAACCAATTGAAAATCGCTTAAACCTTTCGACGCGTTTGCAACGATTACAACGGAAATGTTCCTTTCAGGTTCTTTTACAAACTTCTACGATGGAATGCCCACATGTTCTATTGTAAATAAGTAATTTTAATTCAGGTCGTAAATATTGATAAATAGATGATGCAAAAATGAAACTTCAAAAATTGATATTCTGGCAAAGTTGAGAAGTATTTGAAACGGCCTTCGATAAAGTTTCATGCACGCCAATTTCATTTGCAGTTTATTTTTTAAACATGAATGAACTGAAAGACAAAATGGAAACAGGAAGGAAATAGAACGAGACGTTGATATATTCCTACTACTTGTAATGTAAAGTATCGTTATATTTTCATTTATAAATCAATTTAAACTGACGTTTTCAAATGTTATAGATGAAACGTAAATAGACCAATAAGCCCGCGCATTTTAATACAATTGGATTTATATTGGCATAAAGTATCTTTTTTGAGAAGGGCATGTGCAATGCCAGGAAAAATCACTAAATATTTTACCCTAAATAGACTCTAGTTTTATTATCCTTCATAAACTTTAGTAAGTTGGTGACAGTGAGTATGATAATTAGGAAGAAATTCAATTATTTTGGCTGAAATGAAAGAACAAATAATTGATTTGATAAAAGAACGTATAAACAAGTTGTTACTGGTAAATAACACTGACTAAATAACTTACATTTTTATATAAGTCAATAAGGCATGAAAAAACTCTGAATTAACCTTTTTTGATATCTTTTTGTAGATATTAATGACAATATGAAAATTCCAAATTTTTTTCAGGTGTTTTCACTTCTAAGCTATTAAATTCCCAAAACAAAAACTAGTTACATTATTGACGACACTTGGATTGTATTTCTGCAAGGTTTTTAATATTTTGAACTTTTGAATTGTTGAAAGTTGAACTACAAGGATGCCATATCCTCTTACCCGAGTCTTACCACTAATTAATACACACACGTTAATATAATTGAATGCAAGACAAAGGCAACAATTCAAATACTATATTTTTTTAAATAAATTGTACCATGTTGGTCTACTTTATCGGCAGTCTAACGAAACTTCAAATGGCGTCGTTATTTCTGAAAAATCCATGAGAAAGGAAATCAAGTGTTCTATTAATCGAAGTTCGACGCTCCGGCTGGCTGGGTCAGGTTTAGGTTTAGACTCGGAGTGGGGGTATTTCACAGGCACTACGTTGGGCGTATATGAGTACGTCCACGAGAGATGCCGTCGATTCGTGTTTCGAGTTTTTGCACGACAGCCGTGGGCCAGGCAACAGCGCACTCGCGCTCAAGTCGGATCACGTTCTTCGAGGCAGATTTAAAGTCCTGTACTGATTATCAAAGAATCAAAATACTACTGACGCTATTTCCTACGACGTCTCTGGTCTAACCTCTCCTACGGCAGGCTATGCTGAAACATGACGAAAGGTGGCATCACTGGGGACGTGTTGGAAGCACGGACGGAGCCGTATTCATTGATATGACGCCATTTTACTAACCTTTTCGGCGCGGATCGCGACGAACCACTTAAGGTGCTCCACTTTGTACCGTTTCAAGAGCGTCTGTTTGTATCGTTTACATTTTTACGAAACGCGCACTCTCATTTGTAATTCCAAGCAATTCGTTCGAGCCGGAGTTTACCGGAAGGTACGCAACCCTTGTTACACTGGATTCACCTTGTGTGCAACAAAAGCTTACAGCATTACTCTCTTGTTGAAACTTGTTATCGTGACGTTCTGGTTTTGTGTGCATTTTTATTTACTTTACTTTGACGTTAGCTTTATTGTGGTAATCAATTTTTGGTGGAATTTTTGGAACTGTATCATTGTGAACCGATGGTCACAGCGAAGAGCTTCTTGCATGTCATACCATGTGCTTAGATTTGTAATATTCATGTCAGAGGTATTATATCGAATAGTTCTTACTTTATCAATTCCATTATGAACAGAAAGTTCAATGTTTTATGAGTTAATATGAATGTAATATATAATGTTTCACTCCAATCTCTGACTTTGTTTTCTTAGGCCAAGATGAGTGTTTATATTTCCAAAATTATATGGTAGCTTAGCTCTTGTAAAACATAATTTGAATTTTTGCTCATTGCTTTTATTGCACGGATATTATTAAAAAATCACATTAAGTGTAACAGGTGGCTTTATGCGCATACTAATTATAATTGATTTTGATGAGACATTATACTTTGTGCTGTGTTTTCATTTTGTTTCAATTAACATAGATGAATTCTTAAATATTTAATACAAAGCCTTATCAGTGTTATAATTCTGTTACCTGTTTTTATAATGACAGACATTTGATTTATGATACTAGGATTTAATGATTGTGTAAATCTTAAAAATTGATGTTTTTATGCTAACATGTGTGTTATATGTTATAGGTAGTACAGCTGTAGCGAAGCAGTGCTATTATGGAAGATGAAGATGGTGAAAGTAAAGTTGTGGATATGTGGAATAATTTGGGAGAACAGCAACTTAACGATGCATCTCTTGGAAATTCATTGAAACCTATTGATAGTACATACGCTGACGTGATAGAAGAGGAGAAGCAATTACTGCGATATAATTCGATTGTAACTAAAGATTCGCCAAGCAAAAACAACAGTGCAGGATCAAAAATTGTGTTCAAAGGTTTTAAGAAACGTATTCTGGCACAAGCTCAAGAAACTCAAACGAATACATCGAAAAGTGTAGTGCAAGACCAGCAAGTGCTACATTGTAATGCATTGTCAAAGAATAACAAGGAAAAAAAGGCAGAAATTAAACGAGGCAAAATAACAGAGTATGCACAATATTTGGGTCTCCAACCTTCGTCAAAGAATAAGTGTTTAAAGTGTAACTCATCGTCAAATGTGTGTTCTATATTAAAGCAAAATTTGTGCACCTGTAATTCCACGATGACACCGATGCCCAGCACATCAGAATCGTCTACAGTGCAGCACTCTCCCAACTTTAAGATTACAAGAAAAGTTTATTTATGCGCTGCGTGTGGCACGTATTTTGAAAATTGGAATTTGTTCTTACATATGAGGGACATACATCAGCGTCATATATGTTTATTTTGTCTCGGGATGTTTGGTCAAGCAGAAAGACTATCATATCATTTAACAAAGAATCATAGTGTTCCAGAAATGGCGTTTACATCTGTTGAAGAATTTTATGGTGCTTTCAAAGGATCATGTTATTTAGTTTGTTGCACTTGTGAAAAGGTTTTTTCGGAAACAGATAATTTTTATAATCACTTTTGTTCGCCGACGTCTAAGCAAGACACCACCGCGTCTATATGCACCTTGTGCAGGCAGACGGGTTCACATGCGAGTACATGTAGTTTAGCTATCGACGCATGTAAAGAAGTAAGTGCGTCTTTACCGCATACTATGCAAACAGGCACAATACCAACGCATATACTCGAAAAAGCTGTGAGTCCTGGAAACAAAACTGTTTCTAGGAAACTAATAAAAAATAATAGATCTAAGCATATGGGAGATGGTGTTTCAAATCAGTTAAAAGTAAACACGCATATGAAAAAGACAAACAATAAAACTGTATCTCAATTAAACGAAAGTCAGCTCTTTGATGATACGTTAAATAGGGGTGAAGGTTCTCAAAGCGACGTTCACGATTCGATTAAAGATACAGTTTCGGAAACAATAATGGAAGTTTCAAAATACATTGGAGATTCTGGCAAAGAAACAGGAGAGACGAGTGAAAGAGAGATTTGTCAAAATGATTCGGAAGTAAGATCACCGAGTGACGCGAACAGCCATAATAAGCCATACGATAGCGTAACAGAAACAATCATGGAAGTATCACGTTGTACAAATAATATGCAAGATTCTGATGCTACGATTAAGAATAATGATACGGGTTCAAATGAAATGTTGGATGCGTCAGATAAACCAGAGTCAGATTCTGATGAAGCAGGCAATATGGAAACCTTAAATTCAACAGATGAAGCTAATATAACAACAAATGAATTAAATTCGGTACATCAAGAGGCAGAACAAAATGTAACTATGGACGAAACAGCGGGGACTATATCGGAAACAAAAACTGATTCTAGTTCTCATGCATCTGAAAGTCCTGTTCATAGTCCTGCTAATCGATCGTTATTTAGTCCTGAGCGCGAATCACACGTATTGAACCCAGAAACAAAAGAAGAAAGTTGCGAGAATGAATCTAAAAGAAACTTCGAGGAATCTAACGAATCTCAGTCTTCAATGTCATTCAATGCCATTGCTTCTTCTGACAGAAGTTTAGTTATAAAAATATGTACCAATAGGAACTCTCAGTTTTCTGTTGCAGTTAATAACGACGATACAGAGAGTCATGATATTAACAAAGAGTCGGAGGAAAATAACAATGCCGAGAGTTCGTTAATGGAAGAAAAGAAATCTAACGTTTTCGAAGGGGAGAGAGAAAATAATAACAGTGATCCAGCAAACGATGTAGACAGCGATTCTGATAGCTTCAAATTAGCAGTTGTGGATAGTAGTAACGCCGATGAGACTGAGGAAGTAGATGAAACTAACGAAGCGAACATTGCACCAGAAACTCATGCAGAATCGAACATGGATGTTGAAGAAAATGGAAACCAGGCAGAAGAAGCGGTAGAGGACACAGCAGCTGACGTAGACGCAAATGAAAAGCTTGAGGGTAACGAAGAAATTCAGAATGTAAATGATAGCAAGATAAACAACGTTGTACAACCTCAAATACAGCCGAACGATGGAATCATGTTGGCTGGAGAAGATATTCCATGCGTCGATCTCAACGTTGATGGTACTTTAGACAGTATAGAAATAGAAGATCTACTAAAGCGTTGCATAGAAGTTGCCAGTCCTTTCTGTGTCTACTGCAATCATGCACGTCATGTAGCAGTAAACGGTAAACAACTGGGATTGCACATGCTCGCGGAACACAAATTTCAACCTCAG